TCTAGGTATCCTACATAATTATGGAACTTTTTGAACTGTTCAGAATTCGACTGCGGTACTTCCTTAGTTTTTGGAACATTGTCGACATCGTTCTTTTATCGGTAAATCCGCTCTAATATTAGTTCTCTTGATATTGACAAAAATGTTGGTAATTTATTTACAGTTATGTTGTATTGATGTCTATTTGGATTACCGTAGCAATAAAGTGGCAGCTGATAGAATCAATGAAGTGCTAGACAGTGAGTTCTCCAGAGCTCTATTTCAACGGATTGCCAATCGAAAGTACTAGCTCGTCAAATTCAGACGGACTCACTGATGCTGCGTTCGACGATGTTGTTGAAACTCAAGAGCTGTTCAATGACATCGCGGCAGTCATTCTGTTCTTATCGTGGATTAAGGTGAGCCGTTTAATCAATTAATATAGCTTGAGTAAGTGCAAGACTAATTAGGGCTCCTTTTATAGGAATTTAGATTTTTTCCCAATATGATAGAAAATGGTAAATCGCGCCTGACAACGCGATAACACTCCAGTATTCCTGACATTTTTTCCCGTACTTATTCAAAAAATTCAAATCTAAGCACGGCCACTAAATCGTGGTGTCAACACACAGCTCAAATCGTGTAGAGATCTACTGGATTTGAAGTTGGTTAGACCTTGTTATCACATTTTCATAGGGATGTACAAGAATGACCATTCATTGGGAGGTACAACCAACTAAGAAGAAGAAAACTTAATTGGACAAGTTGTTGAATGCCGCGACTGGTCCCGCAAGGAAACGTGAAAAATATTCTGTAGAAAATATTGAAATGTGGATTTCATTGTCAATATCTCTCTGGATACATTGGAATTAGTAAACACAAAATCAAATTAACTTTTCCTACTAAGTGGTAGAATAAGTTAGTTTGAATTGTTCCCTAATTCCTGTTTTTGAAACCACTTCAGCAAGTTATTACAAAGGAAACTAACTTTTAGAGCTTAGTGTAAATTCACATAATCCAAATGTAGACAAAATCTGATAAACGCTCTACGCACTACCATCATCTATAGCACTTCTTTCATCAAAGCCGTTGTTACAAAACTTTTGAAGAAAAAAATCCACTTTTCCCCAGTAACGTTTCTCGAAATAATCTTGAAGGTGAAAAAAGGATTGGGGAGACTAGAAAGGCATTACATACTACTAAAACGAGGGTAAATCCTTCAAAATCCATAATTTCGTTCATTATTCTGTCTTTAACATAGTTTCATGCATAGAAGCGTTTTTCATTATGTAAATGGTGCGAATTAGTTTGGCAATCTGTATCTGTATCGCAACTTTTTGTTCCAAATTATTTTGTGATGATGTAAAAACATTATAATTACCGTACTCTCCTCTTTGAAGGGCTGTGGATTAGGTCCTCTACTGGAGTTGATATGATGCATGCCTCTCTTATCAACAGAAAAAGACAAGGAAATATAAGAAATTTATTGACTCAAGGTAGGCGAAAATAGGTAGGGTATCATTGAACGGTTAGGTCGGCCCTTAGTCAATAAATACAATTTAATGTTAAATACAGTTAAGTTAATCTATTGGCATACTCGTCAGTTTCTAGAGAAGAGCGGGTAACCTCCAATGCTCTTTCAAATCACTTCAAAGTTTTCTGACAGTATATTATTTATGACATTTCATCAATGCGTTATTTCTGCCAAGGAAAGTCAGATTTTCTGAAGAAATTTCGAAAGCAGGAATTCATAATAATCTAAGACAAGTCAAAATTGCACCTTTTTCGAAAATATTACAAAATTCGAGTATATATTATATCCAATTCTTTTCTTTATTCGCTATTTGAACGCTTTCGTTTTCCTG